GTTAGCATACTTTGTGATCAAAATCTTAATGTGTAGTTATTTTTTAATTTGCTAGATACATTTACAAAAATCTTAGCATTGGTTTCACCAAATTATCTCCAGGTGGCAGCAGAGAGCAATCTTAATGCAAATAGATGATTAGAAACAGCACAGGGTTTGCTTATTTACTTAAAGAAAACAGACCAATTATGAGATGGTAAGGGTGTCTAATTGGAAGAAAGAGTGAATGAATAGATAAATAGAGTCAGTAGGGGTTAGAAATGTGGGAGATGTATTGGAGACAAAACCGTTACCACCTTCAAAAAAGTAGGTAGTAAAGGAGAGACTAATTAGCCTCATAGTTTAAGAAGTAGACTTTGGAGTGAGATTTCTTGGGTTTGAATCCTGTTTCTATCATTTTTCAGCTGTGTGGCTTTGGACACTTTATATAACCTCTCTGCTTTGGGTTTCCTCAATGGCAAATGGTATTTACTATATAGGATTGCTGAGATAATTAGGTAATATTTATAAACTGCTTAGAACAAGACCAGGGTGTTAAACTTAGGGCTTGATAAATATCTGCCATGGATAAAACCAGTGAGATTTGCGGTTGATATTTAGCTGAATATAAAATGTGATTGCTAATTCCTCTACTCTGATTTTGCTTATTTATTTCAATACTACCCACATTTAATTTTCAAATAACTATTTCTCAATTTTACTTTTTGTATAATCTATAAAATTATAATAAAAAGTAATCATTAATTGCAATGTGACATATTTTTTCTAACTCTTTAAGTATTTTCATGCATGTGACATAGATCAACCATATATTAGAGTAAAAAATTTCAAGAAAAATCAATATAATGGAAGGTATAAAAATAGAAATATGCATTTTGTGAGGCTCTTTTAAGTTACCATTTAGTCCATTTAATGATTGTCCATGGAGGAAGATACAGGATTTCAGACGAGTCTTGAGAGCGTGGGTCAATGAAGGTTACAGAGAGGTGAACTGGAAAATAGAAAATGAAATATGGCCAGGAAAGCAGTCTTTTTATGCAATTTTACGTTGAATTATAGCATCTCCAAGGTAATTCATTGATTAAAATCTCTAGTTATTGTACATGGGAGCAGAGAGGAAGTAAAGAAAAGAGTGGAGTGTTGTAGAGTTTGAGTCCCTTGAGATTCTTTAGACTATTAGGTACTGTTCTTTTTCCTCTGTGAAAGGATTTCCTCTGGTATGTTAGTACTTGGCTAGCAGTAGGACAGGGTAGATTGAGGGAATTAGGACTAAGTTTTTAGCTAGTACATTTGTGTGAGTGTGTGTGTGTGTGTGTGTGTGTGTGTGTGTGTGTAGGGGGGCACATAATGCATGTGTAGAGAAGGGTAAGTCAGGTCAGATGTCTAGGCCAGAGAGTTCACCAAAAGTAACAATGAAAAGGGAAGTAGTTATCGGCCCATTTTGCAAGGACACATATCCAGAAAATTCAGCTATGGTAGGAGGGGCAGGCAGGTGCTGAAGTTCTAGGCAGTCAAGACTCAAATACAGGAGGTGAATGGTAGGCAATGTTACTGGGGAACAAAGGGTCCAGGGAACAAGAAGTCAGGAATAAAAGTCCATGAAGTCTTTGCAGTGAGTATTCAAGAGCCATGCAAAGCTTCCACATAATTGGGAGGAATGAAAGGGCAAGACTGCAACATTTCATCTTAAATGATTTCAGTTGTGGCTAAGTATGAATCTGACATTGGAGAGAAAGAAATACCCCTGATTGGAAGAAGTTTACTTCAACAGCATTTATAGGTACCTAAATCAATTTTCAGTTTAGCAATTGATAGAGTAAACCAACTGTGTTGGTTTGGGGGAATTATGGCCTAAAATAGTTCTAACTTACTAAAGCTTCTATGTCTTTTTGTTTTGGCTACTACAACATTAATTGGCATTACATTGTTCTGTTTCTCTCTCGTATGCTCTGATTTATAACTGGTATTATTGAAGGAGACCCGGAAGACTGGTGGAGTAAAAGTTTTGGGTTTCTGGCTTAAACGACACCTGTTTCTTCATCCTTTTTCACTCTTTTGCCTTGCTTCCTGGGTCCTGTGCCCAAGAGGCCCAACCAGGGAGAATCTGTGGCCTTTAGAGTTTTTAGAGTGGTGTATTACCAGACACACACATCTTTCTCTTATACTGACTTTCGTGGCATGTCTTTGGTGGATGATTATGTTAACAAACTTTTAGTCCCTTTATTGTTTTAAACATCCACCCTCCATAAAAGGTGGAAGGTGGGAGTTGAGAGGTTACAGGAGTGGGGTTTGCGGGTGGAGAGGATGAAGGACCAGGGAGAGAACCTTTCATCCTGTCAAATCTATTTTGCAAATGTTATGGTTTTTGATACCCATCACTTGATTCTTTTTTTTTTTTTTTTTTTTTTTTTTTTTGAGACGGAGTTTTGCTCTCATTACCCAGGCTGGAGTGCAATGGTGCAATCTCGGCTCACCGCAACCTCCGCCTCCTGGGTTCAGGCAATTCTCCTGCCTCAGCCTCCTGAGTAGCTGGGATTACAGGCATGCGCCACCACGCCCAGCTAATTTTCTGTATTTTTAGTAGAGACGGAGTTTCACCATGTTGACCAGGATGGTCTCGATCTCTTGACCGCGTGATCCACCCGCCTCGGCCTCCCAAAGTGCTGGGATTACACGCTTGAGCCACCGCGCCCGGCCCACTTGATTCTTAAACTGCTGTTTGCAGATTGTGATCTGACCTCAGGTGAGTGCTTGGGAGCGTGTCTATGAAAGTTGTTGCATGCAATTTTGAAGCAGAGGAGTTGAGTGAAAAGAACACAGGGCTAGAAAATATAGCACATTTTATTCCCAGCTGTGCCAACAAGTTGCTTTGAGGCCTTAGGCCATTTAGCCCTCCTGTGGTTTAGCTTTGGCTGTGTCATTGAGCAGACATTAAATGATCTCCAAGAATTTTTAATGACATGAGAAAAGGCTCATATCAATATAATGTAAACAGATATAGACTTGAGTAAGAAACTCTCCCAATATCACTGGACTAGTAATTGCACAACAGAGACTTAACCCAATGTCTATCTGTATCCTAAACCAGTGTGAATTTTAACTTTAATTTCTCTCTGCTTAATGCAAACTCTCCCTCCTGGGTTAAAGCGATTCTCATGCTTCAGCCTCCCGAGTAGCTGGGACTGCAGATGAGTACCATCATCATACCTGGCTAACTTTGGCGAGGGGGGAATATATATATATATATATTTTTTTTTTTTTAAAGTAGAGATGGAGTTTGGAGTTTTGTCATGTTGTCTGGACTGGTCTCGAACTCCTGAGCTCAGGTAATCTGCCTGCCTCAGCCTCCTGAAGATCAGAAGTATGAAATGGATCTTAGGGGACTAAAATCAAGGTGTTGGCAGGGCTGCACTCCAGCTGGGGGCTTGGGCAGAATTTGTTCTCTGCCTTTTCCAGCAACTAGAGAATGCCTGCATTTCTTGGCTTGTAGCAACATCATTCTGACCTCTGGTCCACGGTCACATCTCCTTCTCTGACTGTGACCCTTCTGCTTCCCTTTTACAAAGACTTAAAAGTGCTAGGATTACAGGCATGAGCCACCCCTCCCAGCCAACTTGAACTTCTATTTGGTAGAAAACCAGGATGTTACCCATATTTTAAATGATGTATTCTCACTAATTTCCCGACACCTGGTGAAACATTAGACAGAAGGAAAGACGTTTTTATTATGGCCTCCCCATTGTCATAGCTCATACTCTCGTGTTCCGTGCCCTCAAGGACTTGATTTCACTGTCTTCATCAAATTAATTAACTTGAAAAAAAAAGCTTCAGAAGGGGAAAGGGGGAATATTTATAATGTTTGGCAAGAAGGAAGATGAAACTGCTAACAGAAAAAAATTCAGGCTGTTTAATCTTTTTCCTGTTTGCAATGTTTTCTTCCCCTTCCTGTACAGTTTTGCCTTGGGGTAGAAAATTCTTAGCACATAGAGGATTTCCCCCTCTCTCAAACATAACTTAAAAGCATAGGAACTAGCCACCTTAAGGAAGAGGGTTTTTTTGGGGTTGGGGGGGGAGGAGAGTCTGAATTCCGGATGTGTGGCCAATAAAGGATGGGTAATTATTTCTAATTTGGTTAAAATGATCAGTCTAACTCTTCAAAGGTGAAAGTGACTGGCAGTAGCTATTGAATTCTGATAAAAAGAATGCCCTCACTCACCCCTAACAAGATACTTTCGTCCTAATTACTAAAACCTGTGAATATGTTACCTTGCGTGGCAAAACGGACTTTGCAGATGTGTTTCAATTAAAGATCTTGAGATTAGGAGATCATGTTAGATTATTTGGGTGGACTGAAAATAATCACAAGGTCTTTATAAAAGGGAAGCAGAAGGGTCACAGTCAGAGAAGGAGATGTGACCGTGGACCAGAGGTCAGAATGATGTTGCTACAAGCCAAGAAATGCAGGCATTCTCTAGTTGCTGGAAAAGGCAGAGAACAAATTCTGCCCAAGCCTCCAGCTGGAGTGCAGCCCTGCCAACACCTTGATTTTAGTCCCCTAAGATCCATTTCAGACTTCTGATCTTTGGAACTGGATGATCATAAATGTTATATTGTCTTGAGCCAGTGAGTTTGTGGTAATTTATTAGAGTAGCAATAGGAAACGAATACACTTATGAGGCTTACAGAGTTGTGTTGACTTCCATTATAGACAGTAATTTCACATGATAATTTTCAAGGGAAACTATTATATTCCAGACTTGAATACTAAGGCCATAAAGCTCTTCAACCAGGAGAAACCTCTATCATGATTGGGAAATTTACAAGGATGGGACAAAATAAATAAATATTCTGTTTTACTTTTTAGTGTAAGTTTAGACAAATCTGTTTATTTTGGACATGTTCAATGCCTTGCTGTAAAGTTTATCTGTGTACAGCAGAAGTGAGAAGAGAACCAATGAGCTGAGAGATAACTCAATCAATCTGCTTCCTCCGTCTTTGCTTCAGGGCTTCATACAGGAAATCTATTGCTGTGTCAAGTTCCAGAGAAAAGCTTCTGTTCTCCCAAGTTACTAATCAGGCTAAACCACATAGACGTGAAGGAGGGAGCTTGAAAGAAGGGAGTGCCTCGCTGTTGATGGGCTAAGAGGATTCTGTACCGAGAAGTTGACCGGAAAGGGTCTCACCATGCTCACAGCTGTTTCTGTACCTGTGTGGAGGAAAATTACTGAGTGAAGGGCAAAAAGAGAGAAAACAGAAATGCTCTGTCCTTGGAGAACTGCTAACCTAGGGCTACTGTTGATTTTGACTGTCTTCTTAGTGACTGGTAAGTCTGAATTTTCTTTGGGAGAATGGTGAGAAACCTGGTCTCAGCTCTTCCTGAGTTTTTTTCTGTCTTTCTTCTGGGGCAATGAAAATCAGTTGCAATCATAGATATAGAGGGTTGCTAAATACGGGTTACTCCTGTTGTCTAGTTTACTTTACCATCATTTTTTCCCATGTCTTACTTATTTTACTTTGTATCCGACTGTAATACACACATCTGTATTTGTCTTACTGCCCACTTCCTTATTTCCTCCTGTTTTTCGAACGAAGCAGGATACATCAAATACACACCAGCAGCAATCAAAGTCACTTAGCTCCTCTTTATCTTATTCTCGTCCCCACCCCCTTTTTCGCGACAGGGTCTTGCTCTGTTGCCCAGGCTGGAGTGCAGTAGTACATCATAACTCACTGCAGCCTGTAACTCCAGGGCTCAAGCAGTCCTCCCACTCAGCCTCCAGAGTATCTAGGACTACAGATGTGTGCCATTATGCTTGGCTAATTTTAAAATTTTTTGATAGAGATGTAGTCTTGCTATGTTGTCCAGGCTGATCTTCAGCTCCTAGATTTATGCGATTCTCCCACCTGAGACTCTCAAAGCACTGGGATTACAGGCATAAGCCACTGCACCCAGCCTCTTCTCTCTTAAGAATTAAACAAACAAACAAAAAAGAATCCTAACTCATTTAGGTACACATTGCCAGTAGCATAGATTAGGACAGTTCATTGCTCTCTGTCACTTTCAATGATAAGGCACTTAAAAAAATATAACAGTTACAGTGGCACGTCTGTGATGTACGTCTGTATTTATCTTCAAGATGTGTGGGCTGTAAGAGACACTATGAGTTAGAGAACACACTCCTCAACATCTAGGTTCCTACAGAAGTCATACAGAACGTGGGGGTGTCCTGGTTTCACTGTAGAAGGTTGGTAGGAGTTGGTGTGGGAGGGAGTTTTCAGGTTTCACTTTTAGTAGATGGAGCAGCTGCAAGGGAAGAGTATAGTTGGTTTTAAATGTTATAATTTGATAATTGAAAGAAGAAAAGGTATTTTTTTCCTCATTTCTGAGTGACTTTAAAATGCTGCTCATCTTCCAGCAAAAAATCTGCTTTCAATATGTTAATCTTACTAGTAAGCACATGCAAAATAACTACTCTATGACTGCACCTTCCTATCGAGAATTTTAGCATACTTTTTCCCCTTTGATCTGCACAGCAACCCAGTGAAGTAGACATGGAAGACACCTCTCCATTTTACAAAGGTAGAAATGGAGGCGTAGAGAGGTGAAATGATTTTCCCAAGGTTAGATATGACTAGAATATGGCAGGATCACAATCAGTAATGATATACATACATCACCACCGCTAAACATTTGAGTAGGCAGTTTTCCTCATTATTTAACCACTGTGCTTTTCACTGAAGGGCACCAGTGAAAAAAGTCAAGCCAATACTTAGTTTTAGTCTTAATAGACTGTTATTTACCTAAAAAAAAGTCAAGTGATCTGAATCTTTCAGTAGTTGAGATCTTGTAGAAAACTCTTATAGAAACTGTGCAGGACCCAGCTCGGCTGGGAAAGCCGGATAGGCAAGGAGCTGTTTATGTCAAATTGCACTGTTACTTTTGGGAAAAGGGAAAAAAAAAAACATTAAAACATAATTTATAATTTTCAATTTTAAAGGTTGAAAGGTTTACATTTTAAAACTATTTCTGAATACAACTAGGAAAGACTGCATGTATCAGACCTATGAAGTCTGTGCTTATGTTACTATCAAGTTATTTGTTTAAAATCAAGATATAAAAAAGCATATTACTTTACATGCAGTGATTCATTATGATAGGTTTACGATGAAGCATATCACTTGGGGAAATGACTTTATGTCTTTATTGCTAAAACTGCTCTGTTATTAATACTGCCAAACAGAACTCGCTTTGTACAAGATAACAAAGGAGCAAGGGAGCTAATGACTTAAATGTAAAACATAGTATTCATTTTTGGTATCCCTATTTTCTTTTTGTTTACTTATTTGCTTGTAACTTCAGGCAGCATCGTAGTTAGTAGACAAGATTTATCCAGAAAAACCTGAGGGGAAAAATCAAAACAACCTAAATTGTGCATGTCAGAGCAATATTCCCAAGCTTGTACCTGGTCCCCCTCCCTGGCACCCTGTGCCACTTCCATCTCCTTCTTTTAGCCCTAGTCTTCTAGATTTTGTGTATGTTCAAATTGTATTTTTCTGTTCCATTTAAAATTATTCCATCTTTTGTAAAAGTTACTGTTTTGTGATTATGAGTTACTAAAAAGGAACCCTCTACTTCTTTCCTTCTTTGGGCTAATTTTTATTCATTTATTGTTATCTTCCACTAGAGGACAGGCAGTAACAAGAAGAGGAGATAAAAGTCAAGAGAGGGCTCTAAGGTAGCTTTGGCAGATTTGCAAACAATGGAAAAAGATTAAAAACAATTGTGCAAAAGAAGGGTTTGTCCTTAATAATTTTAGCTCTATCTTCCTTTTCTAGTTTGTGACATTTCTGAATTTACATATTATAATAATTTATAGGTGTGTTTTTCTCTAAGTGTTCATGTTTAAGCAATTAATAAATTAATTAAAAGTCCTTATTAATGGGTATATGTGTGTGTGTAGAATAGTGGTTAAAAGTTATTAGCCATCTCAATTAGAAAGAGATAGGTAAGATAAAACAGTTCGTGAATATTTAAAGTCAGTAAATCTTGAAATTGTGTATGAAACGAGTACAAATCTAAAGGAGGGAGATATTACAGGGGGTTGGAGTTGTTGAAGGCTTTATGGGGATGGGTCTTGAGCTAGGCTTTGAATGACAGGTTTGGATAAACAGGGAAACGTAGAGAAAGGAACTGGAAAGATAGGACATGTAGCATGTATAAATGCAAGGTGCTTCAGAGAGAGAGAAAGAACCGTAGCTTGCAGGAACAGCAATTATGTGTTAAATGACAACAGGAAATAAGGCTGGATTTTTGGGGTCCTTAATAGCTAAGTAAAAAAACCTGGGTATTAGTCAGTAGACAATGAGGAACCACTTGTTTTTTGGTGAACAGGAAAATCATATAATTAAGTAGTATTTTTGGATGTGGTAACAGTGTTCCATTGAGTGGTAGTGGCACTAGATTAAATACTTATTTTGAAACATGAGTCAAGAGCTATGCTAGGGTTCTCATTTGAAAAAGTTCTGTGATGCCACTGAGATATATCTGTGACTGAGAAGGGAGCTTCTTTGTGGAGGAAGATGTTAAGTTCAGTACAGGAAGCGAGGACAAGTAGGATGAAAATTCCTACAGACACTTAGAAATACAGTCAGCCCTCTGTATTGCATCCCTGGATTCAACCAATTTCAGATTGAAAATATAAGGAGAAGAAGTGGGTGATTTCATTAGCACTGAACATGTACAGATTTTGCTCTTGGCATTTCCTAAACAATTCAGTGTAAGAGCTGGTTATCTAGCGTTTACATTGTATTAGGTATTATAAGCCATCTAGAGATGATTGAAAGTATATGAGAGATTGTGCATAGGTTATATGCAAACACTACATCATTTTAGATTAGGGACTTGAGCTTCTTTGAATTTTGCTATCTCTGGGGGTCCTAGAACTAATCTCCCAAAGACATTGAGGGATGACTGTATAGAAAATTCTAGTGTTTGCGAATCATTCATGAAGTAGATGATCCATTCCATGAACAGAATAAATATAGAGACAAAAAGAACAGAATAAGCACTAGAGATATTTGGATATGGGCTCTGAGAACCGTACTTATCTCTTTCTAGTCTACAAAAGATAGGAAGAGCTGAGAAGAGACAGGACGGGAGCCAATATGGAGTGCCAATTGAGTGCTTACCCTCAAATAGGAGAAGATACTCTTCTGAAATTGAGGGTTAAGAGGAGACATTAGATATAGGGATTCTAGTAGGTTGAGGATGGCAATCAGGTAATGGGAACAAATGAGAGAGTTTATAGAAGATAAATTTCCTCCCAATAAGATCATGAATATTTCAGCTAATGGTATTTAGTTAATAAAATAACCCAGTAGTTGTTTAATTTTATGTTATATCTGAAAAATTAACCTGTACATTGATTAAAATGTAGTAGCCATTGACATATTTTTGCCTCTTCTCCCTTATTATCACTCATATACCTTTGTCAATTCCTGACTGGGATTTGGGAGCAGATCTGTGGTTGTAAAATATCTGGACTGTGTGATGCTAGTAGCCCCTAAGAATCAAGTCAACAATCATTACTTTTCAAATAATATTAATAGTAATAAATATCACTGATTTATATAATTCATTTAATAGACATAGTCACAATCAGCTGTTTTTTTCCCAGGAAGAAATGACATGCATTAACACTAAGCAAACAACTTCCAAGATTTTCTAGCTAGAATATGTATGCTTAGACCCCATTCTAAAACCAAAATCCAATTTGTATTTAAGGCAAGCAATATCAAAAAGTTCCAGGATTAAAGCAGGGCTAAAAGTTTTTCCATTTCTTTTCTGAGACAGGGTCTCACTCTATCTATCACTCAGGCTGAAATGCGGTGGTACAGTCATGGCTTACTGTAGCCTTGGCCTCCAAGGCTCAGGTGATCCTCTTGTTTTAGGCTCCCAAGTAGCTGGGACTACAGGTGTGTACCACCATGCTAGGCTAATGTTTTTTGTATTTTTTGTAGAGACAAGGTGTCCCCATGTTGCCCAGGCTGGTCTTGAACTCCTGGGCTCAAGCAATCCTCCTGCCTTGGCCTCTCAAACTGTTGGGATTACAGGCATAAGGCACTGTACCTGGCCAGTTTTTCCACTTTTAAAGAAATACTTTTGTTTAAAAATCTCTGCTACTTTGAGTTATTGATGCTGTTGCAGGTTCTCTTGGAAATTAAACTCTCAGATAGAGTTTTGTGTACAGACGCTTTTGAGCACAGGGAGAAGTCTACCTGCAATCTAAACCAATTGACACCCTCACCTGACCCCACAGGGAG